CCCTGTCTCAAAATTTTAAAAAATTTGTAAATGGGCTGAGGGTGTAGCTCAGTACAAAGGCCCTGGGTTCAATCACCAGTACCATAATATCACTGAGCATTCAATATTCAGTTTAGCTAGAGAGAAAGAACCCTATCACAAGGAAGGACAATGAATCACTGAGACAGCACCTCCCACAGGCTAAACTGTGCTGTGATTGTAAATCACATTCTGAAGGATGTGGAGAACTTAAAAGAATTAGAGAAAGCAAAGGCACTCCAGGTATAAACAATTCAATATTTACATAGTCTATTCCTTGTGTTGGCAAACACACAAAGGCACTTGAAACACAGAACTTGCCCAAGGGCTTCTGACTGGATTAGGCAGAACAAAACAAGAGCAATTGAATGCAGTCAGAACAAAACAAGAGCAATTGAATGGAGTACTTCTGTTCCCAGCAGTCGCCTGAGCCAACCGCAGATGGTGAGGCTTCAGAGGCTGAAGTCAGAAACCGCCTGGGCCAAGGCACAGTGGGCATCCTGGACCCTCTGCTCCCTGGAATGGGACAGGAACCAGCTCCAGTGAGGACTCGGGAAGGCCCAGTGTCTCACGAAGAAGAGGGGCCATTTGGAGAAAATATGCAGCGGTGAGCCTGGGAAGGAGGTGTCGGAGTTGGGGTGGCCCTTGCTGCCTTTCTCTGACTTGAATCAGGAAAACCTGGAATGGCACCAGGACTTCTGGGGCTGAGTTGGTCTAACATTTCCAGCCAGGCCTTGCAGAAAGGGTTGTGAAAAAACTAGCTGGCTGAGAAAGCGAACTTCCCAGAGGGAAGGGCTGCTCTCCAAGGTGTGTGGGAGGCGGGGAGCAGAGCAGGAGACTGGAGCAGAGACCAGTGGTGTCTCTTGGTCAGGGGAGAAAGCAGTGGAGAGGCACTGGGGCAGGAAGAGGTGTTAGTGCTGCAGTGTGCCGTGGCCAGAGGTGCACAGACGCGCTACAGGTGTCTGAGAATATCCTACTGTTGAAAGCAAAATTGTGAATGCTTCTGGGGAAGTTTCCATAACTGTCCTCAGATTCTCCAAGGAGGTCTTAGAGTCATAAAGAGCTTCATTAAGGCTCACAATCAGCAAACCTAGAGACAGATAATACTAGAGGGAGCCACTGGTTTACCGAACCACTTCTCAGAAGCTGATCATCAGGCAGTGCAGAGAAGAACCTGGAGGAGGGGCCAGGACACTGCTGTGGGATGAGAAGCCTTTCCTTCACCCTTTCAGCTAATATATATTTATTGAGCACCTATTACGTCAGCTGCTGTTTAGATTCTGGGATACAACACTGGGGAAAAAAGCAGAGAAAAATCAATTCCTGGAAGGAAGATTGAAACTTTCATCACAGTGAAGGAAGACTGACCAAAATCAGGAGTAAAATATTTAGTATGTTAGAAAGGAGTACGTGCTAAGGAGAAAAATGAAGAATAGAAAGAGGCAGGGAGGGCCAGAGTAGGGGGATGAAGGTGTTAAACATTAAATAGAATAATCAGGAAAAGATGATAATCTTATTGAGATAATCTTTGAGCAAATACTTGAAGAAAGCAAGAGGTTAAGCCATGTGACTATCTAGGATGAGAGGATTCTAGGGTAGAAGGAAGTGCAAAGGCCCTAAGGCAGGAGGCCTATGATGTTTGAAGGGGCTGGTGAAGAGGTGTAAAACTAGTTTGGTAGAAGGTTCTAGAAAACAAGGATAGCTAGGTAAATGGGGTAGACTGCCCTCTCTAAGTTAGTACAAGACATTTGATTTTTCCTCTGAGTGAGAAAGGAAGCTATCAGGTGTTGAGCAGAGAAGTGTTCTGGATGACAGGTTAACAGGCTCAATCTGACTGAGTAGAAACAAACTGTAAAGAGGCAAGGGTGAAAATGGGGAGATGAGTTTGGGAGCTGTGGCTATGAACTGGACAAGAAAGGATTCCTCAACCAAGGTTGCAGTTGTGAAGTTGGCGAGAGTTTGGCAGATTCAAGGTGGAAAAAGTCATAGAAAACTGCGTGAAAGGTTAAAAAGAGGCAGCAGCAGGATCTCTGTGACTTTTCAATATTTGGGGGCACCCCTATTGATCTAGGGGTGCCTCACAGTGGTATGATACGAAAGTACTTTTGCCCTGTACCTCACCAGCCAGGCCTCTCAGATGGGACATCTATTCTCTTAAGCCTGAAGCTCCCTGACTTGCACACAGGAAGAATAAATATCTGATTTGCCCAATGGTCATCTATGGCACACAGCTGTTTTAAAATGCCTTCTGATTCTGGGATCTATGACACTGGTTCAAAGAGTAACTTAAAAAACAGCCAAGATGTCACATCAGAACAGGTGCTGCTCTTTGAAAAAGTAAGTAGTGCTGTGCTCTGATGTTCCCTGCCGTGGACTTTCCACCACCTATAGGACTTATGCTTGATTTGCTTCTCTGGGTGGTGGCCTTGGGGCAGGACGAGGGAGAAATCCCCTGTGTAGCAGGACAGAGTGAAGTGGTTCACCGTAGCAGACTCAGCCAACCATTGCAGAAGGCCCAGATCCTACTGAAAGTACACAGGCAGTGTTTTGACTCAGAACAGGTGCATAATTAGGCAACATCTGCTTCTCTTGTGAATGCAGACTGCCTAAAGCCCAGCACGGAGGAAGCAGAAAATGTCAACAGGGCTCACAAGCTCACAATCCAGGTTGATAAAGAAGGTCACAGCCAAGTTTATCCAGGCTGCAATAGCATGTAGTCAAACTTTAATACATAAAGCCAAAATAACAGGTTTTTTTAAAGTTAAAAGTGTATTTAGGGCTTGGGAAATGGTACATAAAACTGTGTGTCTCTACCTGTGCTAGGACTGTCTTAACTTTTCTCAAAACACCTGACACCCAAAGTTAAAGGAGGAAAAGTTTATTTAGCTCACAGTATGTAGAGGTTTCAGTTCATTATTGGCTGGCTCCAAGGCAAGGTGGCATGGCAGAGGGGGATCACAGAGGAGAAACAGTTCATGGCAGGCAGAAGGTGGGAAGGCAGCAAAGCAGTGAAGTAGCAAAGAAGCAAGCAGCAAGCAGCAACAGCAGCCCTCTTTCCCTCCCTTGTATTCTATCCAGGCTACACACCCTTGGGGCAGGTGGTACTCACACCCGGGTGGGCCTTCCATTATCTACACCCAGAACTATGCCAAACCAATCAGTGGACCCTTGATCCCAGCATCACATACTCTAGATCAGCCACCTCTGACAAAGCCCCATCTATGACCACATGAGGCTTTGGGAGAGCATCTGGGCACAAGCCTGAACGAGAACACAGGAGTTAAGGGTGGCAGGACAGGCACTCTTGAGTTTGGCTGTCCCATTCCTATCACTTCTTGTCTCAGAACCTTCCCTTTTGGGTCACAGGCCACAGCTGCCTGCTGTCCCATGTCCTGGGTCTACTACTGGAGGCCTGAGTTCAGTTGAGCCAGGGAGAAATTCTCTGAGGGGTTTGGAATGGGGCTGCAGGGGCTGAGCTGGCACTTGGGGGAAACTAGGAAAGCTGGGGGTGGCACAGCAGTATTTGGGACAGGTGTGTGCACGAGGGGGCTGCTGCCTGGACAAAAGCAGCCAAGGTTAAGAGAAAAGTAGAAGGAGAAACTGTGTGGTCCCAGAGAAACTGACGAGATTAGCTCAACATCCATGATCAATTTCCAGCCCCCTTGTGATGCCTCCTGGCAGTTCTTGCCTTGGATTTCTTGGAGTAGCTCCTGTATCTATCTCATAAAGCCCTCTTTGTGGCTTCCCAGCACTGCATATGGTTTGTATTCCTTATAACCACATAATACCTGAGATATATCAATTACAATTCTATAGCAACATGGAGAAATTCCTAAGTTATAAAATAAAAGGTATTAAGTTGCATATATTCTATGTTTACCATCCTAGAAAATGTATGTACATATGAACATTGGCTGGGAAAAAAAACACATGAAAATGGCTGAGGTAGTTTAAAGCTTTTTTTTTTTTTAACATTTCCATCAAATTATTGTGGTGTACTTATAATTCTTGAAAGAAATTGTTGAGAAAACAAATCAACTTAGTATTTAACCCACAAAAGCATTCATAAATGATTTCTAAAATAAGGGGCAACAAAAAATAAAATAAGAGGGAACAAAGTCGATGAATGATTATATATTTAGACTGCTGTCCTGGAGTTGGCATGAGTAGGTGCCTTCCTAAAAAGCTGAAGGAAAACAGTGTCTTATGAATTCATAAATATGAGTCTTTTGTGTTTATATAAAATGAGGAAAACATACTACATTCATATGTTTATTAATTTCAGATGTTGTTTTGCATTAGTTTGCTGCTGTTGTTTTGTTTCATTTAGTTTTGTTTTAGAGGGGTGTTTTTTTGCAGTCAGGATCCCCCTCTGCTGTAGAAATGTCCCTAAGATTCCTAGAGAGCTTACACACACTTGAGACGTACAACCCAGAAATGTGTGAAGCAGAATCTGCTGCTACCTGTAACACTTTCCCAGTCCTGACTGTCCCCCTTCAGGACAGCAGCTTTTTCTTTGCCCGTGCAGATCAGCCTAAGTTACAGATCTTGCTATCAGCCCTCTCAGGCCCCTCAAGTCCCCTAGCTGAACATATCCACAGAGTTGCATGAATCAGTGCTGCTGGGAATCTGAGTCAGCTGGTCCAAACCATTCATTTCACAGGTGAAATGCTCTAGCCCACAAAAGAGAAATGACAACTTTAGGTATCACACACATTTGCTAATCAGTGCAAACAACTTGCCACCCTTCCTGTTGATCTGGCATTGGATCTTTGAGATGACCCAAGAGCAAATCTAGACACTCTGAACCCTCTTTTGCTCCACACTCAACAGAGGACTTGACCATGACCATGAGCATGGCCTTAGAGTTGTCCTCTGGTCTCCCTTAAGATCCTTCAAGGAGGGATCACATCTGGAGCTATTTCCTGTTCATTCCTGATATGTCACAGACGCCTGCCCAGGAAACCCTGCAAGGTCCTTACCTCCAGATGGTGTGCCAGCAACTCTTCTGAGGAATTTAACCCACTCCTCCATCTCTGCCTGGGAGCTGGCCATGAGGATATAGGAGTCTTGTGCTGTGCGATTCAGGTCCCATAAAGCTGGAGAAAAAGTAGCACATATGAAAGTCTTAGACCGGTGGGGTTGGGGGCAGAGCAAGAGGAAGGGAAGGGTGGCTGAACCTGAATTGATTCCTTGGTTTGAGGAAGCACTACCAGTTAAGTAATACAAAGCCATCACTCAGTGATTCTCAGTGGAATTGGATATCCATGTATTTTTATAGGTTTTGCAGAAGCTCTAATTCTACAAGCAAATCATCAAACACAACGGTTATAATTGGGATTACTTTGGCAAAGAGCTGCTTACATGGAGGACAGAAGCCATTTCCTATGGAAAGGATAGGGAAGTTCATGATGCAGTTTCAACGTTCCGAGGTGACAGGATCAGCCCATACAAGTTTGAAGACTTCCAGTCATCAGACCAATCATGGGCACTATCCTAAACTAGCCCTAAGCTCAGTTGCAGGGACTAGGGAGGGGACAGCAACCTAGGATGAGAGGAACATTGAGTATAAGGGTGTCTTTCTCACAAAACCAGTGTTTCTTGTTCAGATCACTATTCTCCTGACTACAAAAATCCTTTCACATGGTAAATTCTCAATACTTAGTTAATGGACACATGAAGCTTGTTAGGACTTAGTTTACCTCTTTCATTTTAAACCTAAGATATAGATATGTGTTGTATTTCCTGCACTGATGTATTCAGATGGACAAAATGAAGAAAATGAGAAGGAGAGAAAGAAACTGTCCAACAGTACTTTCAGCATTCCCAGAGCCTGCTGTGAGTGTGATTGATAATAAGAGGACAAATCTCCCCCCTACTTTGGCACAGAAATCCTTAGGGTACTGGCTTCTGGGGGAAAGCTCACAGTGAATTTTCAGATGGAACTCTCTCATCTCAGTAGGGTTTTCTGGATTGAAAACCCAGCCACGGAGATATGTGTTACCATGGGTGGTTGAGTCCCATGAGTCACATTAGAGGAGAGGGATCCTAGGAACCGAAGAACCCTTGTGGAAAGGTGTAGGACTTCCCCAGATTGGGAAAAGATACTCAAAACAGCAACCTCTTCTTGTAAGGAGGAAAACCAGGCAATAGATGACCCAGTTTCAGATAAGAAAGCAAAGGGATGCCCATGAAGGAACCATTTGTGGACTTGAAAATTTTCCCTTTATTTTCTCTAAATAGACATACTGAGTTTTAGGATATACTTTGCAGTATAATTCCCTCTAGTTATCTCCAAAATACCAAACACTTATATGGCACTACTACATAGTAGGCCCTGCCCCAAGTGTTTCTTATAGATTTCTCTGTTTAATCCTCACTATCCTCATCATTGTTCCCATTTTATGGATAAAGAAACAGAGTTGGGGGGAAATCGGAGACTTGTTACAGAAATGGTAAGTGACAAAGTCTGGATTTGGATCTGGGAATGCTGACTCTAGACTAGGCACTTCTTCCCTCTCCATCAACATCCTTATGCACCAACTGTCTTATGTGAGTGGGAAGGAGGAATTTAAGGGAGAGGGCACTCAGGGAACTTGTCCCTGGCTGCGATCAGCAGGGTGGAAGCAGCAAGACTGACACAGCTAAATCAGCAATCCTGAAGTCCCTGGCAGGGCTGAGGAGTGGCATAAGAGCAAGAGACAGGGAGACAAAGAGACAAGAACGAGCAGCCTCAGTATGGCAGCTTCAGGAGCATGAGCCAAACTCCCATGCTCTAAATACACTGGAGGAAGGGAACTCTCTATTGGTCATCTTCCACGTGCAGCTCACATGAGCAGTACACAGTGTGATCAAAAATATGGGGAATGTTTAAAAAGTGTGTTACAGTAAAAAACACATTGCCATTAGTCCCCTTCAAACTACTCCCTCTTCCTTCGAATATACTTATCCCATTGCTCTTGCCACTTTCTGAAGCAGATCTGGAAATCCTTTTATGACTGACTTTTCATGGCTGTCTCAATGTGCTGGATCAATTCAGAATGTTTACAGCAATTTCATAATGGTATGCCCACATCCCCCTTATTCACCAGGTCTGGCACTGTGAGACTTCTGGCTCCACCTCTAAATCACAATGGCCATGAAAGGAAACCAAAGCAGCCGTGACAACGAAACTAAAGACACAAAAGAGGACTTCCAGAACTGCTTCACAAAGTGGCAAGAAAGATGAGATGAGTGTGCTTGAGGGGAACTAATGGTAATGTGTTTTTTACTGTAATGATTTTTTAAATTTAAACATTTGCTGCATTTTCTATCACACCTCATACATGACATATAACACCCAGCACATGCTAAGTGCACAGCAAGTGGAAGCTATCATTTCTTATTAGGTCCTGTTGACCCACTTGCAGTGGCTAACTTTCCACCATTTTCCATCCATCCAAATGGCAATTTTACATGGTTAAATTTATATTTTAACTGTTAATTTTAATGCTCCACTCTCCTTCTACACAGAGCTCCTTTGGGTTAGTAAGGGATGATACACTTTTCACATCAGTGTCCCAGTGCCTGGTACAGTACCTGGCTCCAAGGTCATACTCCTAAAATGCTTTCAGAGATGATCTGAATGTGCACTTACTTAGTTTCTGGGCATTACTCAGATCCTTGGTGCTAGTTAATCAACTAGGGTAGGTCCACTATGTACAGAACCCATCATGTGATCCTAACAGATTGGTTAGTTGGTTGAAGGACTGACTGAAACCTTGACTTCCAGGATCCAGAAGTAAAATGTGAATGTAATACACCTCTTTTCTACCTCTTGGAATTAACCTGGAATGAACCTACCTGGAGTGACTTCAAAGACAAACTTCCCTGCTTCTTCTGGATTTGTAGCAATCTCTTTGATGGTACTTCCTGGTAGATACATACAGCCCTGAAAGATTCAAATCGGGCTTGTAAGATAAGCAGCATTGTATCACCTACAGACTCAAATTTAGTTAGAGAACAGGTGGGTAATAAGGGTGTGATGAAGAGGAGGGTAGGTGGAGAGGAACATGGAAGCCTGGCAGCTCAGTGGAGCTCTTCTGGTGCTGCTCAGGCCTTAGCCAAATTAAGTGGCAGCCAGCTGAGAGCAAGCTAGGAGTCTAGAACGAGAAGGACAAGGTCCTGTCAGAAGGATGGCCGAGAGGGGGCCATCACCAACACTTGCCCCATCCCACCTTTCCAAGATGCAACTTCATGCCCAAGCCAGACTCCTGATCTTGATGAAGACAATGCTGAAACCATACTATTTTCTGGGGGACACTTAAGACTGTGCCACAGGTACCCATTGAAGAGGACAGAGTAACTTAGCAGCAGCAAGAGCTATGGAGAAGCACTTTGCAGATGCCCATGCCCCCTCACACACTTTTTGTGCTACTAAGGATGATAATAATCTCAGCCAGATGTGATGGTGCACACCTGTAATCCCAGTACTCAGGAGGCTGAAGCAGGAGTATCATGAGTTCAAGACCAGCTTGGAATATATAGTGAGACCCAGTCTCAAAAGAACAAAACAATTCTAAAACAAAAACACTCTCTCTCTACCTGAAACTTGCTATCTTTAGTAAATCACATCAATGTTTTTCAAAAAATCACCCTGTGATTGTGCTGCTGCTAGACTATTTTGAATGAGTAACTTAGGATGAGTTAGCACTAGAACCAAAGGTCGTGTTACTTTTAGACAGGAAGGAACACTGCTAGGAAGGAAAGGAAAGCCAATTTCAGAAGTACTTCCTTCCCTATGTCATGTGGTACCCAAAATCATTTCACCAGGTAAAAATTATATATTTATATTTGAGCAGCTACAAGGTGTCAGAGTCCCTACTGATTGCCCTGAATATAGATATATAAGCACATCTGATCTTCATAGAAAATCTATAAGGGAAGGATGATTAGTTTTCCCCACTGGAGACATGAGGAAATAAGGTTTAGAAAACTTAATTAGCTGACCCAAGATCAGAATTAGTTAATAGGAAAGATATGATTCAAATTGTGGTCATATGATTCCAGAAGTACAGAGTTCAATAAGGCCTTACTTACAAGTCCCACTTGCTATAATAAGTAACAATCAGAGTTCAACTCACTCGCACTGAGGTGTAACAGTGCAGGTCCTTCCCTCATACTAAGCATATGACCCTGTGACATCATCAATAGATAGAGGAAGGTGCACCAGAGGAAAAGACGCCAGTCTGAGTGAAGTGGGGAGGAGCACTGATGAGGAAGGAACTGTCACAAAAAGGGAAGGACTCAAGTTGCCTATCACTGCTTTCACCTACTTTGCATATTTACAAGGGTGGACTCTGTGTGGAACTGATAGGGGAGGGTCATACTGAAAGCCACATGTCCTGCTGCAGGGGAGACAGGTGTGACAATGATGTACTACGGCCAGCTTACATTGGTTCATGAAGACAAACTGTTTCATCTTCAGGAACTCTGTGAGCCAGCTGCTAAGCACAGCCATTCTTAAAACTTAAACTATATAAACCTATGATAAAATATTTTATAGCAAAAAAAGATAATGTTACTTAAAATTTATCACGTCAGGGCCGGGGATTTAGCTTAGTGGTTTCGGTGCCTGGCTCACAAGTGCAAGGACCTGAGTTCGATCCCCAGTACCAAAATAAATAAATAAATAAAATATATTTTTAAAAAATTTTATCACATCCTTGTTATTTGCTATGTTTATTTCTGCTATGTGGTTAATTACATTTACTTCCTCGGTGTGGTAGAAATGTTGTTTAATGCACTATTGCATCTCAACTCTGAATTCAGTAATATCACACTGATAATTTGAAACTGTCTTATTGAGAATATCTGTACCACAGAAATTGACAGATACTGTAGCCAAAGCAACTCCCCAGCAGAATACCTGTTTTCAGAAGCATTTACCACCACATCATTCCACAATTAGAAATGTGGATCAAAGGGTTTACACTTTTTTCAAAAACATAATAGCCTCCAGAAAGCTTGTACAGATTTTCATTTCTACAAGTCCTACATGTGAATTTGTTTCTTAGTTTTCATTTACTAAAATTTCTAGAAAAATTTTCCCAATTTGATAAAGGGCACTGGTGTCTCATTAGTTTCCATTGTATGTTGTTATTCACTACTGAGCTTGAACTTTTTAACATATGTATACTGGCCACTACATTTCTCTGGTGAATCGTCTATTTGTATCTTTGCTTGCTTTTCTGTTGAGAAGTTTGTTTTGCTTATGGCTTTGAGGGAGTACTTCAAATGTTAAGAATATTTGTTTACCACATATAATATACATTTTTCCGGCTTAATACTTGAAGTCATAGTAAATGCTGATTTTTAAGATAAATTTATATTTATGAAATTAGTCTTTTCCTTGTGAAATCTTTCTTGTGTTTTTAAAAATCAACTGTCCAACTCTGTGGAGATGGGAAGAGGATCTGAGGATGGGGGAAACAGGAGATTAGGAAGCAGAAGAGGAAGTACGATGGGTGAAAGACAATATGTATAAGCACCAATTCCCCAAGACAACTGTAATTATCATATATTCAAAATATATACTAATAAAAAAGAAACTAAAAATCATTTACAGAGACAATTATATTTTCTTCTGATATTTTATGAATTTACTTTTTACTTTTAATTCTCTAATTTTTCAGAATCATGAATGGTGTGAAATCTAATGTAGAAATGTACCTTTGCATTTTCTCAAAATTTTAGCTCCAGTCTGTAGCTCTCATTTCATTTCCAGGTATTTTCAGTGTCTTGGGAACAAATGCTCAATGATAATACAGTTAATAGTACTTTATTTTCAATAGATTTAGAACTTTTCTTTATCTTAATAAAATAATAAAATCTATAAGGATAGACAATTATAAACCATCTATACAGGTTTTTTGTTTCTATTATTAATTACATTATAGAATAATATTTAATATTAAGGACCAATATTCATGACATATTGCTTTATTTTAGTTAAGTAATTTATACCAATTTTGCATTTATACTAGATGATTTTATAAATAGCTATGTATAAGAAAGGCTAGATTTATATGGCTATTTCTTGCTGATGGGACTGTGCATATTTTTATTTTTTACTTTGTGCTTTTCTGCATTCTCCAAATTTACTACCATTTATATGTATATCCTTTGCAATCAAAATACACACATCAGCACATGGTAAAACATATTTATTCTTTCTAAGGAAATATCATTGTATTCTTAAGTTTATTTTGTTTATCTGAAAAGAGTGTCAGATTTTATTGTATGCCCTTTTTGGCCACCTTTTAGGGGTCATGTGGTTTTTCTCACTTGCCCTATTGATCTGATGTAATATATTGATAAATTTCTTTAAAATAAATCATCCTTGTAATCTTAGGAGAAACTTCCCCTAATTATCCCAGGCTATTTTAATCCTTAGAAGGCCTTGGGGGTCCTCTTCCTAGAAGTGGAAAAAGAAGCAAAACCCTTCAAATATTTACTTTACCATTTGGCTAATTAATGTTTTTATAAAACAACTTTTTACACAGGCTTCCTATCATTGAATCATGTAACAAATGCAGTCCAGGTGGTATTGTTTCATTTGATATAAGAAGAAAGAAGGATATGGAAAAATTAAGTAATTACACAACCAGACAATGGTGGAGCTAGGGGGGAAAAAACCCTGTCATCCTTACACGGTGGGAACCAACACTACCAATGCCCTTTTCATGGATTTGTGATGGCCAAAGCATTGCTCTCTGCAGAGGGAAGGCTTCCTGCATTATCTTCTGCACCCTCCGCTGCTGTCTTAGTCTGGAATTGCTCGGCCCTGAATAAGGTCTGCACTGGTCATAAAGAGAAGGAAGTCTGATTACCACATAGGACATCAGCAAGAGCCCAGCCTGTGGTGGTGTCTCTAAGGCCCTTCCCCAGCCTCCACAGTGACAGACATGCAGAACACAGGGCCTCAAGTGGAGGGCGTGGTTTATCAAGTCTTGCTGCCTTGTTAGGGGTCCTCAAGCCTGCTGTTATAGAGATCTGCCCTTTCCAGAAGACTGGTTCATTTGTCTTCCATCCACCTGCCCACCCACCCCCAAAATCCACATGCTTCTTATCCTCACCAGTCTTGGGGTTGTTTTTTCTAGCCCCAAAAGTTTCTAGAGTCTGTCTTTCCTAATAGGTTCTTTCTTGCGAATCCTACCCTACTAAAACCACACAGAGAGAATCTCTAGGTAGTGTCCTGGCTGTCCAGGACATCCAGCTTATCCCTAGGGCCTCAGGATTTTTGTTAACAATGCCTTCTCTCACTCCCGCACACCACAGTGGGCATGAAGAATCCATGAGGTGGGGAGAAGTGACCTAGGCCCAAGATTTAGATCAAAGCACACTCTCACAGCCCCATTTACTCCATCAGGAAGTCCTGTTTGCTCTATTTTCAAGTATATCTAGAATCTTTTTGCCACTAGCCCACAACTCTACTGAGGTCCTAAACACCTAACATCTAGATTACCTGTGTTCCCTGCCCAGCCCCTTGTTTATTTTAGAAGACAGCAATGAGAGCAATCTTTTTAGAATACAAGCTGAAGAATGTTACCTCTATCCTCAGAACCCTGTAATGCCTCCCCGTGTTACTGCAAATGTTCAAGTCACAGAGGTGACCTACAGTGCCCTTCACATCTGTGCTCCCTGCCCCCTGCCCCCTGCCCCCTGCCCTCACTTCTCTGACCTCAGCCTCTCTGGCTCTCATTCTGTATCCCTCTCCCACCACACTGACCTCCTGTATTCTCCACATGGGGCAACCATGCTCCCTTTTGGGCCTTCGTTCTAGCTGTTCCCTCAGGCTGGAATGCTCTCTCCCAGAAACCCACTTAAATAACCCCTTCTCCCCTTAATCTTTCCACAAATATCACCCTGTTTAGGAGGCCACTCTGACTATCCTATTTAAAAATTACCAATACTTTCCCCCCAAATCTGGATCTCTCCTATATCATTCTATTTTTTTTCTCATAGAACTAATCTTTTTCTAAAAAGCTACATAATTTTTTTATTTATTATGTTTATTTTCTATCTTCCCTCCATATTCTAAACTCTGTATGGTAGAGATGTTTCACCTGTTTTTCTCACTCATTTATTTCAAGTACCTAGAACAGTCCCTGTCACTAGAACATTTATGTATAAACACATTATGAGCAGCAAACAACTAAATGCTGTGTACATGTTTTTGAGAAAAAAAAAAATCAGAGTACCAAGTCCTTTTTTGGAGCCCAAATGCACTTTCTCTGATTCTGAGTCTCCAGTGCACTGTGAGCCTGAACTTAGCGACACACTTAGGAAACTCCACAGTACTTACCTTGCGGAGGGCCTCTCTGCTATCTTTGCAACTTAGTTTATGTGTCTAGAAAATAATGAAAAGACAAAAGCAACTCTTCCACAAATGGATGTGCCTAGTTCTATGAAGAAGGCCTATAAGTAGAGTGTAAGTACAGCCCACCTTCGCTGTGCCCCAAGAAGAACAGCCCTCTTGATGGAAATAAACACCCAGCTGGTACCTGCGGCTTTGAGTCCTCTTCGTCCTTGTAATAGTAAAGCTGCTGCGCCTTCAACACAAAGTACCGCTGCTGCCAGTTTTTCACTATGGACCGCTGCTTCTTCAGCCAACCCATCTTGATGGGCCTTTCCAGAGGGTTGAGAGTGGATGATGAGTGAAAGTTCGCCATCTGCTCTCCAGTCATCACGCTCCTGGACCGAGCTATAGAGAGGAACAGACCGGCCGACTGACTGAGAGACATAAGCATTGAGCAAAAAGTGAGCAGGAGGCGAGAGAGGAAACCCCGAGGGGGCCTGAGCAGCGGGGTGGGCCACAGCCAAGTCCAGTTTAGGGGTCCACATCTGCATCAGAGGAAATCCCTCATGACCCGGTCAGGAGCCGAGCGGCCTGCCTACTCCTGATCAGAGCCAGACTCAGACCAGTACACAGACAGTCCAGCAGCTGCTGTCGGCCCCCGCATTCTGCAAAATGAAACATTGGCTGGAGCCTTCTGAAGAGGAAGTGGCCGCAGCATCTGACAAAAGGTGCTTCCTTTTCCTGTGTGGGAGTTAGTATCTGACAAGAGAGAGGAGAAAATAATGCCTCATTTTCTGAGAGTTGAGGGTGAGACCTACGCAGCTGCAGAGGCCACCAGAAGCTGCCTGGGCATTTGTCCACAGTGGCCCATTCAGAGGAGGTGGCAGTGTGTTAGCTCAGACTTCAGTGTCCAATAGAAGCCTTCTCCAACTGATCCTGCTAACCCCTCTGCCTAACCACAAGACCAGGATACAGGGAGTTGGCACCTTCTTAATTTTCCTGCCACATGTCAAGTGCCCTTTTGCCCTCTTCCCAGTGAGAGTTTACGTGGGACCAAGGGCCTTGGGTAATGCCTGTGACCTTTCCAGTCAGGTTGTCACTGGCACTAGAACTCTGGAGCAAGACTTGAAGTCAGACCCTTCCACCCACTGTATGGTACAACTGGATTTTGTCTTCCCACAGAGTTGTGCCCCTCATGTGACTCCTGACCTGTGCCTCCACATCCTGTCTCCATGGTGACTCCTACCTAGGTTAACGCTCCTTCTCTTAACATGCACAGCAACCCATCGACCACCCTAGTTCCCATTCAACATTTCCTTCGGATACCCACCTTCTTTCTTTCCCAGCCAGTAGAATAAGGACCCTAAAACTACTTTAGAGCTCCTTGGCTCCTTGACCTTGAGCTGATCACCCACACTTGCCAATACCCAGAGTTGGCATTCCTCTCCTTCTGCTGAAAATCTCTTTATTTTGTTTTTATTGATCCTGGGGACATTCACAGCATAGATGAACTCCTGCCTGACCCCATTTTTTTTTTTGCCTGACTAGGCCATTTCTCTTCCTTTCTCCTTGACCATGAATAGACTATGCAACTTCTCCCACCCTTAGTTTCCTTACTTTCCTTACTAGGAAAGTCATAGTTCCTACTCTGTGGAATTGTGGAGATTAAACAAATATACAAATCATGTACCATAGGCCCTGCTCAAAGGTAAGCATATTTTACTTTGATTTTTACCAACAAGTGATTTTACTTCATACCATAAGGAAGGAGATTGTTTTTGAGGGCTTCCTCAACTTTTACTTCAAAATATGCTTCATCAAATTTTCTTTCTTCCTTCATTTCTATCTTTTTTTTGGTACCGGGGATCAAACTCAGGATCTTGCACTTTCATTTCTATCTTTAATGTATTTAATTGCTGACTCCTCCCCATTGCTTTTGATTTCTTTCTTTTTATTTGCCTCTAGGCCTGTGGCTCTCAGTCTTTATTCATGTTCATGGCATACTTTGAATACTAGAATTTTATATAACATGATAGTCTTTCTTGTGATAACTCAAGTTGAATGCAGAGTTATCATCCTATTTAATGTTCAACCCTTCTATACTACAGTGCTATCTGAAGAGAACTCTGCCCTAACTGGGTTCCCTTGACTTTACAAGTGTCCCGTGTCCCTGTATCATACACTCACACCCGGGTTCCAGCTTGTAGTCACTCCCCTTCTCACCAGGGACCTGGAGAGTTTGCAAAATATACTTGATGCAACACTGTTAGGTAAACCTCATCACAAAAACACATATGCTTGATTGTAGTTTTAAAATATTTTGATATTTTAATGATAATTTGGCAGCATGATTGAAAAGAGTTTGCTCTATATCAGTATGTCCTGGCACTCCAAATAAGAACTTTATTTTAGATCTTTCTTGTCACTATTTTCAAGGCCTTTCACTGGGGCTGATCACTTACTCTAAGACTGTATAAATAGTCCAAGGGAATCACAGGAGGGTTTGGGCAGGAGGGTTTGGGCAGGAGTGCAGGGGGAGGAGGGCATTTGAAGGACTATATACAGCCCTGCATCTCTATAGGTCAGAGAACATTTCTTCCAAAGACTCTTATGTCTCCTGGAAAAAGAGCAGATGTAGACAGAAATGAGAAATGTAGATCCCACACACAAAACCTTTGGAGGATGTGGAAGAGTGAGGCAATCGGATATTCTCCCCCACCATAATAGCCTCAGTGTGGCCCATGCCAGTGAGATTTTGTGACCATCCATCTGAAGCAGCATGAGACATGGGGGTATGGCTCCTTGTAGGAGTGTAAAAAGGAAACTATATGGCTCAGAGCTGATGCCACCAAATGACAACACAGGAGAGGTGTACATGTTGCCACGTACTGGCTAAGAGAATCCAGGCCCCTTGGGTTACTCCCAGAATCCCAGACCTTGTTAGGACCACGATGGGAGGCAGGAGAAGAGGAAGGTCTCCAGTAGCATGGAAGAAGTGCAGGGGTTAGAAGAAGCCAGTGAAGCATTAAAGATTGAAGATAATTCACCCAGCACAGAACTCAGTTGCTAAGGTACTGTTTTGTGCTTACTTCTGGGAAATTTTTCATCCTTTGTCACAGCAAAAACAGTAATAACCAAAACAAACCTCCCCTCAAAGCACCTATGCATTGCAGAATGCCCTGTCAAAAGCAAGAATAGGCATGCAGACCCTGTGTTCTTAGTCCTGGAGAAGAGGGGCCTGGATGACCTTGAGACAGGAAGGCAAGCACCTGTTTATTTACATATGACTAAGACCTTGACTAACTTTATTTTATAACCCAAAATAATGCCACTCACCATACATCCACCAGTGTTTCTTCTGTGCTTATTGTTGTCTTTTCACCATAACTAATGTGACCATGGGCCCTGGGCTATGTTTTAAGTTAGAAGAAGTGAATGGTTCAGGCCAAACCTCCACACTACTGGAATTTAATCCAAACACTGTGGGCATGGAGTGGCAGCTAGGGGCTCACTGAGCCAGTGACTAAGCAGGAGAGCCTTCTGTCTCATGTGTAGAGTGATCTCCCATCTTAATGCTCAGCATGGCTTACCAGCCAAGCTTTTCAGAGAAGAAAGCTTGGTGAGTCTTGGTTTTGACTCTTTGTTAGTTTCTTAGAACAATTATTCTTCTTTGTGGGTGTGACCTGTTCCAGGATGAAATAAACAAAGAGATCTGCTACTATTAATGGAGAGGTTTCTCTTAAAGAAAATAATAACTGTGATAAGTTTTGCCTGTGAGCCAGTCTCTGTACTCACAGTGCATGTTTCCAGCCCTCAGGAAGGTTTGATCCAGACATCAGTTGCAGAGAGGGCTGCAGGGAGGCAAGTTGCTCAGCATTTACAGAATGCTCTTGAGCAAGTGGAAAATGAAGGTTCGAATGAGGCCAGAAACCTACTGTCATTCTAGTAAAGAGAAAGAACATGTCCTTAGCTAACACTGTGCTGTCTAGCACACTAGCCGCCACAAATGGCTATGTACAGTTAAATGAATTAAAATAAGTGAAATTAAATTCATTTCCCCAGTCACATCAGCCACCTTCAAGTGTCATGTGTGGCTTCTGTATTGGACATCACAGAGAGGACTTTTCCATCATCCCCGAAGATTCTGTTGGTCAGCACATCCTGGAACCTGAGTCCTCTCATTACAAAGCACAGGATGAAATAAGCCAAAAGGCAGAATAACATTTTACCAAATAGTCTGGAGGGCACAGAAATCAAAGGGCTTTAGGTGACAGAGTGAGACTTCAACCTTGGTCTGAGCAGAGAACCATTTCAAGTTGCTGAGCAAGGGAGGACCATAGAAAACACAGATGAGTGATGTATTTGCCCTGTTCATGCTGAAGATGAGGAAGGGTACCAGCAAGGCGAGGAGCTGAAAAAGCACCACATTCTCAGGGATGTTATTTTTGCAATAGAAGTGAGCTGTTTTGTGCCCCAAGTTAGATCAAGAGAAAATTAAAGAGGGAAGTGTGAACAGAGAAGTCAGCTGGGAAACACTGTCACTTCCTTTCTTCATCTTCCCATCTTCTAACACCCTGGCCCTGAAAATCACAAAGGCTCATAAGGTCTGCCGCTGAAGCAGTCTTTTAGCTGCTCTCCTCCCTGCCTCAGTCTGTCTTCTATGGTACTTGAGTGGGCCGTGACTGTGTGGCTGAGGCGTGAGTAGCTCCTTGACAGCTGGGGGATCTATTGAAGTTTTTCTCAGTGTGTTGACAGGAGCTGTGCATTAGTTTGGGAACCACATTTGAATGAATTTGACAGGGAGTAAAATTCATATGGCTTCAGCCCAGGCCTCTCTTCTGGAGCATTACACCCATCTACCCAGCTGCTCTCGTGCACCCAGTGAGATTCTCAGGCTCACTGCACTCTTAGCCAAGCTCACCACAGTCCTGCTTCTCCCCTCCAACCATCCTCTGTCTTGTATTGACAATCACCTCCTCCTGCTTCCCACCCGCCGCAGCCTTGTCTCTGTGATGTGCTGAGTGACATCTTTCCCACTGACCAACCTGTCTAGAATGCTGTCCCTTCCTATGCTCAGCACAGACATTGTTTATGATGCAATCCTTCTAGAGCACAAACTCAAGTTCCTCTCCTGCCTAAAAGCCTCTGATGAGCCCACCACTACCCTCATAAAGGACAAAGCCTAACCCTCCTGCTATGGAGTCTGGATTCTTATGGCTTTGCCCGAACTATTTCCACTTCCTGCTTTTCCCCAATTCCCATCCTGCACTTTACCCATGGTGATAATTTTATGTTTGCAACAAATTACCTATTTGTGAGACTCCTAGATTTCTTCATCAGTGCCCATTCAAGCAGAGTGGCCAGTAGAAGATATAATCCCTGATCTAGTAATAATAAACAACCAT